ATGAATTATTGGCTGCAGTGGAGCCTCCGTGTTCTGAAAAACGTACATGGACAATGTACATAATTATCAAGAGTACATAACCCCCAGAGTGTGCAACGGCGATCCAGCTCTGTGTAGGGTCTTGGTCGAGCGGAATCAGATCTTCTGATGTCATGCGTACACTTCACACCCGCGCAAGGCCGGTCTCGAGGCAGGGCACCATTGTTTTTGATCCAAGAGTACCCGCGACTCCCCGGGTTCCCCTCAGATGTGTACGGTATTATGACGCAAAGATCCGATTCCGCTCGACCAAGACCCTATGCAGAGCTGGATCAGGCGTTGCACACTCTGGGGGGTTATGTACTCTTGTAATTATGTATTTGAACCCAACTGACCAATTGGGCAAGAACACTCAACAACAACGTCACTGATGGCGAGGAGAGGTGGCTGGATGAATACAGTATTACGGTAGCAGATGCAGTGTGCCTGGCTGTAGGGATTTCGACTCTATTATTTTCGAGCCTCCAGAGATGTTGAAGACACCAGGAAATCCAACCAACATACCCGAAGCAGCGCCAACGCTCATGAGCCCCTGCGGCCCGCGCCCATCGGATCAGTTTTTTTGGAACGTGCATGATATGTACATGTTACATGTGTACATTTTTTTTTTTTTAGATACGATGAAAGGTAAAATAGAATTTTATTCAAGTACAATACATTGGGAAACTCCAAGAAATTCCACGTAAAACAGACGGAATTCAGTTTTCAATGGCCGATGCCTACCCCAGTAACAGCACCATCCTGCGTCGACAGGTACATGTTACATGTACATTTACATTATTTTTTATTTTTTATTGAAAAACCACAAACCTTCAGACATGTGAATGTGCACATGATATACAGTGTACATACGTATGTATCGAGAAGGCAGCACGGAAACGGCAGTGGTGGTGAGGCCTGGGCAGCTCGTCCGACCGTGGGTCTCGGAGTCAACACTGGGCAGACGCGGTAGCTTAGGAGATAAGGGATGGAGCCAGCATGATCATAGTATGTAATGCATATGCAGAAGTAATAATGATGTTAATCTTAAAAACAATAGTGCGGTCGACCTGCGCAGAGGAAAGGCATCATGGACGTGATTGCATGTACATGTTACATGTGTACATGTTACATCAAGACTCATTCAAGAGTACATGTACATAATCTGCATAGGGTCTTGGTCGAGCGGAATCGGATCTTTGCGTCAAAATACCGTACACATCTGAGGGGAACCCGGAGAGTCGCGGGTACTCTTGGATCAAAAACAATGGTGCCCTGCCTCGAGACTGGCCTTGACTTGAGCTGGTGTGGAGTGTACGCATGACATCAGAAGATCCGATTCCGCTCGACCAAGACCCTACACAGAGCTTGATCGGCGTTGCACACTCTGGGGGGTTATGTACTCTTGGTTACATGTTACATGTAACGTGTACATGTTACATGTTACATGTAACATGTAACATGTAACATGTACATTGTACATGTTACATGTAACATCAAGAGTAGATAAACAGTTTATCTACTCTTGATGTTACATGTAACATGTACAATGTACATGTTACATGTAACATGTACACATGTTACATGTACATGTGTACATGTAACATGTGTACATGTGTACATGTTACATGTGTACATGTGTACATGTAACATGTAACATGTACACATGTTACATGTTACATGTGTACATGTGTACATGTTACATGTGTACATGTTACATGTAACATGTACACATGTAACATGTAACATGTACATTGTACATGAGATGTGGCAACAACTATTGAGATGGAAGCTTGGCGAAACTTTTGACTCGTCGAGTCGTGGCCGCCGGTCGGATTTCTCTGGTCACGACTGTGCAATGTTCAATTCTTCATGGTGCTATCGATAGTAAATTTGACAACAGTGGAATCCTGATCCTCATAGTACTTGAAGCACATGTACTGGGATAATGACATAAACTATCCAGGGTGATAGCCAGGGTGATAGCCAGGGTGATAGCCAGGGTGATAGCCAGGGTGATAGCCAGACTAAAGGAAATAGAAGATCATTCGTTCAATACTGCGACAGAGCTTTCGGCCATACTCCACGTTACTGTCATGTACATCCTCTACTGATGAGCTCAAACCAAAAGGAGCAAAACAGCAGTGTACAATATACATGTATATGTACGTTAAATTTATCCGTCCACGGAAATGTGCTTGCAGCGCTGGTGCCTTTATGCTGTGTGCATTGGTTCGGCGGAAAGGCGCGTTCGAAATGTCTCTCTTTGACTTTTTGAGGAGTTTCGCTTTTCTGAAGAGGTGGCTTTTTTGGCCTCTTCAGAAAAACAAAACTCCACAACCTCATGCGATGGGAGAGGTGGATTAGTTCCGAAGAGTTTGGAATAGCTGCGTCGAGATGGTCGATCTGATCGGACGTCATTATCGCCATGGCAATTCCACTGAAAAACTCTAAAATGATACAAACTGTTCTAGTATTGGGACACTTCAACTAATCTCTTTAAAAAAAGTGTTTGAACAATTGATGAAGACAATGCGAACGCCCTTCTTAAGAGTGCATGATGGTGACTAGGCCTTGACGGATTATGCTAGCATATTTTTTCGCATAATTCCTACCAAAATCGAATAATCGCATAAGTCGAGGCAAATTGCATTCGAATCGCATAAAATTGGAATAATCCGCCTGTTCGCATCAAATTCCATACAGTTGTACATGTTCTACAAGACAGTAGATGCACCAGGAGGTCGTAGGTTTACGACTCCCTTGATAACATGTCCAGTCCACTACAATCAGTGACGGTCGTAGCTAGGTCGGACGGTGCGTTGACCCCGTTGAACTTCTGCTACTACAGTACAACGCCCTCTACAAAAAAATTCCCCTGCTATTTTGCACAGAACCATCATATACATAATACATTAGCAGCATATGTGAGCATATGCGGCATAATATGATAACTTTTAGCATAAAAATAGCATAATTCTGCAATTTTTTCAGCAATGCGAAAAGCATAATTTCACGAAAATATTAGCATAATCCGTCAAGGCCTAATGGTGACGGGTGAAGGGTGTAGTAATGAAAAGATCATCGGACCCAAATTTCAAGTTATGATATTTACAATGTACCGCCATTTTATGCCGCCATTTTTCAGCCGCTCTGAACCTACCCAGAGCTACATTGTACGTCTCGTTACGGCCTGAATGCTATTTCAGACAGATGGAACATGCTTCCACCTGGATGTCGTCAAGCTAAGCCCCTTTCTGCATTTGTCACAAGCACCAAGTCATTCCTAGGGTTCCCAGTAAAAAGGCAACGCCTGTTGGGAGTTCCCTAGTAAAATAATAAATTCTACTACTTCTACTACTACCTTTTGGCCTAGGCCTTGACAGATTATGCTAATATTTTCGTGAAATTATGCTTTTCGCATTGCTGAAAAATTGCAGAATTATGCTATTTTTATGCTAAAAGTTATCATATTATGCCGCATTATGCTCACATATGCTGCTAATGTACAGGTATAATGGTTCTGTGCAAAATAACAGGGGAATTTTTTTGTAGAGGGCGTTGTACTGTAGTAGCAAAAGTTCAACGGGGTCAACGCACCGTCCGACCTACATTGTACACTTAGCTACGACCGTCACTGATTGTAGTGGATCCATGGACTGGACATGTTCTCAAGGGAGTCGTAAACCTACGACTTCCTGGTGCATCTACTTGTACCGTACTGGCAATATATGTTGCCGCAGTGAGGCCATGAAGCGTTACATTGGATCATGTTTGCCGCACGCAAGGCGTTACATGCAAAGTCGCACAGGAGCCGTTACACAGGTTTCTATATTGCCGCAGTCCTTTTTTTGCTATTGCCGCATCACTTTTTTGCTATTGCCGCATCATTTTTTTGCTTTTGCCGCATTATTTTTTCTTTAAAAAAAAAGATCGCCGCACCCCGCCGGACGCGCGTTACGAACTCGACGAAAATTTGTCGCACTAGCCTGGTCACGCGTTACGCCGCACCCCCCTGCGTTACGCGTTACGCGGCAACATATATTGCCAGTACGGTACTTGTACTTGCAGAACATGTACAACTGTATGGAATTTGATGCGAACAGGCGGATTATTCCTATTTTATGCGATTCGTATGCAATTTGCCTCGAATTATGTGATTATTCGATTTTGGTAGGAATTATGCAAAAAATTATGCTAGCATAATCTGTCAAGGCCTATTTTGGCCGCTACTTGAGTTTTCCGGGCCGGCCCAGATAAAGAGCAGCCGCGGCGGGCTTGCTGATGACAATGACGATGGGTGACGAGGTGGAAACCTGGACTGAATGCCCGTCATGGCTGTGTTGTGTAAGTATAGACGGGAAGTGTTGGTGTCCGAAGCAAGCCAATACCACCACGCCACTGTGACGTCAGTCCCGGGCATCCAAGATTGCCTCATTGACATCGCCCCCCTTGGACATCATCACATGTCACCTGCTGAAATCCCACACGTCCACGGTTTTCAAGTGCTTTTTCATCTACAGCGCACTCGCGATAACACGTGACCAACACCATGCACACTGTACTACAGGACAGTAGTTGATCTACTGAGTAATAGTGTAAAGTTGTAAACGCAGGGAAAGGGCTGCACTACAAGCAGGAAGTACTTTCTTGTCCTTGACTTTTAGTTTAGTTCCGTTCCCTACACTCCGCAGAACATGAGCATGCTTGCTGCTGAGCTGACCACTGCCTAGGCTATGGATCGCCAAGTAAAGTGGAGCCCGTCAGTCACTCAACGCGAAAAGCGAATCATAGAATCTACGGATTCTGAGTCCGACCTGAAGCGGTAATATTAGTAACAGTGTAGTTGCAGGATGGTGATCTGATCAAGCACTGGACACATCTAGTGCTAAGACTGACAGCTTGCCTACCAGTGTACCTAGTACCTGGTGTCTGTGCATGGACGTGATACGCTAGACTGTAGACGGTGGCATGCCTTTGTTTTTAGCCAAGCGCCTCGGAGAGTTTTGTTTCTCCTGAGGCTGAGGCTGATTATTTCCTGTTTCGGACACAAACTGCAGGAAAAAAGCTGAAAGCGGCAGTAGCCGGATAGCATTATTTCGCAGCGTCAGAAAGATCCGAAACTGGCGAGCGTTTGACTGTGAGGCCATCTGGAGAGTGTTGGGACCAGGACGCAACGCCTCAGTTACACGCGCCGCCGAGTACAGCACAGTTTCAATACTCAATCTTGTTCAGCCTGTCCGAATTACAAAGGTAAACGATAGTACTACCGGTGGTGTTAGTGCGTACTTGTAGAACTAAACTAATTACTTACTTGTTTGTAGAAGTTTGATCCCTATGGCTGTTTGCCCATGCATTCTAGGGGTGGAGGTGTGAACACGACTTAGCCCTCTGCGGCCATCCGACTCCGTGAGACACGCCTGGTGTGACGCGTGCGGCCCGCAGCACACATAGCAAGCAAAGACAAGTATTTCATTAGTTTGTAACAAACACACCACGTGGCCACGCCGGGCCCGGATACTGAGTAGATCTGCGTAGAAATCAGCAAAGAACGTTACGTCCCAGCGTGCCGGAGTGCGCAAGTCATCGAGCTCGATTATCCATCAGCCCCAGCCTGCCCAGGACATCGTCATCTCCGACTTGTGTCCACGAAATGCTGTAGCGTGAGCGACGTGCATGGAGAAACGGAGGAGCCAGAACCTTTAGTCCTGATGACCAGACGATACATCGCGGAAATAGCCCACATAGCCTGGCATCGGTGATGTTCCGTTGAGAATAGCGGACGTATCCAGTTCAGTTTTCGTTGTCTTTGTTCCAATCAGTTCGTCTGCAGTCATGGAGTATTGTGGCGAATTGCTGTTGCTACTCCTGCTCGCAACGTCGTTCATAGTTCCCGTTATGATGAGCAATAATTGTCAAGTGGATGCCGACGGAGTACCAAGTAAGTTGAGCATAACAACACAAAAAAACTACAATAATAATTATTATCATCTCTGCACTCAGTGTATGTGTGTGGTGTGTGTGTGTGTGGGGGGGGGGGGGGGGGGGGGGTGGATGGGTGTAGGTGTGCATGTGTGAGTGTACTATAGAGCTTTTTCAAGGTTGAACCAATGGTCACTTTTTGGGGTCAGGTGCGAGAAATCTTTGAACTGATGGTGAACTGGCGAAGTCCAGTTCATGTTTACTTTGTACTAGAATGGATGCATGGAGGTGGAAGAAGCAGTAGAATGGATGCATGGAGGTGGAAGACGCAGTAGAATGGTGCTCCACTTGATGTCCGACACTCGTGTTGAGTCAGAGCAGTTGCCAGGAAGCCCTTCATTGGTTTGCGCGAAAAAGAAGAAGCTTCAGAAGAGCTCCAAGCGATGGTGGAGATGAACCTGTCACATTTCCTATACTTTTCAATGCGTTTTGACATGCGACCTGTTCACCAAAATCTCGGGGTGATCGCCCGGGCGGTAGCGGGAAAGGCATCCTCGAAAAAGCTCTATAGTATGTGTGTGTGTGTGTGTGTGTGTGTGTGTGTGTGTGTGTGCGTGTGTGTGTGTGTGTGTGTGTGTGTCTGTTGACTGGTGTAATCCCTGCACAAGTTGCTATGTCTAACATAGCTGTTCGCTATCATCGCTTCCGCGATGGGCAGGTCTGAGGTCTGAGGTGTGCGTGTGTGTGTGTGTGTGTGTGTGTGTGTGTGTGTGTGTGTGTGTGTGTGCGTGCGTGCGTGTGTAATATTTTGTAATACTTGTTTGCTTACAGTTCTAAAGTATGTTGTGACAAGACATAGCTTGCACACTAAGGTTGCGTTTACAGGAAAAGTTTCAACCTGGGTTGAAAGTCTGTCCGATAGACAACATAGGTGGGTGTTTATATGGAGACAGTTGGCCCGGATCAAATACTGATATCTCACCAAAAGTCCACTTCTAGAGTCCTGTATGGTCACGTGAATACTTTCGCGAGAAATTTGCCCGGCGCGAGATATGCACAAAAGTACAGTCGTACGATTTCTCGATTTCAACGCTCCCCCAAGAGGAGAGTTGAAATCAACCCGGGGCGAAATTTCAAACCGGGTCAAGCGCAATGCGTCATGTAAACGCGCCAGTCAATATGTGCTCATTTGCAGGTGGAAACTACACTCTAAGCCGTAATGTCACGTAGTGAAACCGGGCGTATTCCTGTAGAAGCCGATGTGAGGGCTAGGCTTCTATTTACATCAGTCTTTCTATTCAAACCGGGTATTTCTATGTCAACACTAAAACCAGGCTTGTGTGCCGACAGTGTATCTTGGAAATCAGGCTTGTAGGCTTCAACAGGCTTCAATGATTATGAAATGGGCTTTAGTGCAGGACACTACGCTATAATGATAGTTCAGACTTAGTTACCATGGCGCCCGTCCAGTATTAAACATTGTCTGCAACATGAGCGGCACAGAGATCTATGGACGGAGGCTGGGACAGCACTGCCCGCTAATTAAGTAACGCATTTTCCGGAGTATAAGCCACACTGGAGTATAAGCCGCACCCCCCCCCCCCCCCCTCCCCGCCCCCCCCCCCCCCAATATTATTGCCGTGAAATACAGACATGTAGAGAGGAAAAGGACATATGGATACGAGTTAAGAGTTACATTTATTTATGGCTCAACATCCGAGTTTCAAAATACAGACATCTCCCCCATATATCACCGTCATTAATATTTGATCATTGGAGTACAAGCCGCACCCCCCCCCCCTTTTTGGGGGTGAAATTTGAGTGCCCAAAGTGCGGCTTGTAATCCGGAGAATACGGGATTGCATTTTCTTAACGATGTCATAGTGTTGGGAATGATTTCATAGTGATGAGAATGATGTCATAGTGATGGGAATGATTTCATAGTGATGAGAAAGATGTCATAGTGATGAGAATGATGTCATAGTGATGGGAAAGATGTCATAGTGAAGAGAATAATGTCATAGTGATGGGAATGATTTCATAGTGATGAGAAAGATGTCATAGTGATGAGAATGATGTACTAGTGATGGGAATGATTTCATAGTGATGAGAAAGATGTCATAGTGATGAGAATGATGTCATAGTGATGAGAATGATGTCATAGTGATGAGAATGATGTCATAGTGATGAGCCAGCCGAACCACTTATGGACACGACGTATACAGTGTGAGTCAGCGGTTGCGCTTGAGCTAATGCATTGCTGTGCTGCAACCTTGCCAAAGCATCTCAAGTGCTGACGCAATCGCATAGCCTCGTACCGCTCTTTGCCCCAGGTGCACCGTGAATCAATAAAACACACTGATTTGGGCTCCGAATTTCGAAGCTTTTTCAGCGGAGCCACCCCTTCGCAAACAGTAAAGTGTGCCTCGGATGACTGACTGGCCGTACATATGTATCCAGGGGCGTAGCTCGCATGGGGCACGTGCACCCCCCCCCCCCCCCTAAAAATTTCGATCTAGGTTCAGCATGCACCAGCCATCCCACACCTACATTGAATGCGGCTGTGCACCCCCCCCCCCCCAACCCCGTAAAGGGGGACCAGCTACGTACGCCCCTGGTACTACACCCTGATTTACCTTCCGACACCCCTGTGTGTGTGTGTGTGTGTGTTGTGTTTGCTGTGCAGCCAACTCCGCTATGTGCGCGGACGGTCACACCTACGTCTACTATAACGAAGCGGGGTGCGACTTTGAAGGCGCTGTGGCGTTTTGCAAGTACAGGAATGCCACTCTGCCTCTTCCGCTGAATCAAACCATTGACTCGTGTATCCGGGAGCTTGATTCCAGAAACAACAGACGCCTGTGGCTGGGTTTCATGCGTAGTAGTTCGGGGCAGAACTGGAGTGCCGTGCTACCGAACATTACGGGCGTATCTGATAACCTCAGGGGGGCTGACAAGAAATTGTGCGTTCGTATCCACACCAATTACTTTGAATGGAAGGAGGAAGAGTGCAACAATGAGGACAACGTGAACGCTGTGGTCTGCGTCACAAGTAAGCTGCAGAGATTCTCATTTCTTCTCTTGCGCCTTTTTCAGGTGCGCGTCGATGTGCCCAAACCAGCCTCATCTGAACCCGTTCTGTTTGTTTGTTTGTTGGTTTTTTTGATCCATTTTAGTTCGTTGCCTCAGCAGTACATATGTACAACCTCGAACAGGAAACCAAATGACTAAGGGTCATCAGAAACCGTCGATCAGACTGCAGGCTTTTCCCTGGGATGTCTGACGAACGCTAGGAGGGTGTTGTGTTTGACGCCGCGAGACCGAAAACGGTGCGGAGCGCAATCGCATCAGAGTGGATACGACAAGTCGTTGAGGAGGAGGGGACAGGGTCAGGCAGAGTAGGGCTTGCGCACTTAAATGGTGCAGTGCCTTAGTAAGATGTATGGAGCCTGTTCTGGGACTTGTACATACCCTGCCCCAAATGATCAATAATGCCCCGTTTTGGTGCAGGGCATTATACCAGTCCCAGAGCCGGCTCGATACATACTACTTGCCTTTCTAGTTTGCAGCACTGGCATAGTGGGGACTATTCACCATGCTAAATAACGAGAGCATAGTACTACAGTACAACCTCTGCTTCTCGAACCCTGTCACAAGCAGAATCCTGTATTGACAAATTTCCATGCACCAAAGTGCCGTGGACCGAATGTCCATCCCTGGCTCAAGCGGAATCCTGTCGTACCAGGACAGTTTCCGTTGCAGCCAGGGCGTCCTGCTAAGGCAGGTTTTTCTGTCGATCAGACCCACTACAAAGCGGTTAATGAGCGAACATTCTAATCTCCTTACCCGTGCGAACGCTATAGTATACATTTTCTAAAGCATCCTGTAACAAGTTCCCAGGCAGGCATAGTGGGTTGGTCAAATACCATGATTGAGATACGAGAGGTACCTGGGTCAAGTCCTGCCAGTGAGCGGTTTTTCCAGCCATGCTGCTACCCACAGTCAACTTGGAACTTGTGGCCAGGCTCACGAGGTACATGGATGCGGCTAATGGGGTTTCTCGGCACTTGCGCCAGTGGTTATGAGACGTATCCACTCACGCCCACCGTTAGGCGCTGCATCTACCGCTAGGATTTACCGGCTGTTAGCGGCTGTCGTGAGTTCCCTTTGGGAATGGACACGACAATTTACTTATCCTGTAACAAGTTGTAGGCTATGAGTCATAGGCTTATGACCCTAATGGGACACCTATAGGTTAAGGGAATATTCACGAAAGAAAAAGAAAAACAAAGAAAAAGTCGGGGTGGAGAAAGCAATATAATTAGAGCATTTAGAGTACAATTGATGAAGACATGGCCACACAACATAACGACGGTGTAGAATATTATTGAACTCGGATGGTGAGATTTTTATTATTATTACAAGCATTCTAAAATCTAGATTTTCGCATTCAAAAAAGAAATAGGGAAGTATAGTTCAAGTTGCCCGCATCATCGGATATGTTGAAGAAAACATCAAGCAAAGACATTACATCAGCGGCTCACCACTTTCATCAAAATAATAAATACACCATCCATAGCCAGTTAGTTGTAGAACATCAGTACCGTCGGTCAGTGTCGTGCAATGGTACCGCATGAGCTGATTGTTTAGTAACTGGTGGTGGTAGTGGACATTATAGCGTTACTTGTAGCTCCTTGGTCTTTCTCTTTCTATAAATTAAACCTTGGCTCTCCATCTGAGTCCATCCATACCCTCCCCTTTCTCTTGTGTTATTTCAGAATAAATATTTCTTCTTTTTATTAGCTATTCTTAGCGTATGTGTGTCCGTAGTAGTAGTAGTAGTATTCTTTTATTTTCCATCGGAAGCCTCAACAGTGTCCGTGTGGGGTATGTTTGTGTGTGTGTGTGTGTGTGTGTGTGTGTGTGTGTGTGTATGTGTGTGTGTGTGTGTGTGTGTGTATATGTGTGCACACGTGTGTGCACATGTGTGTGGCGTGGGTGTGCACCCGCACACATACGTCGACGCATCATTACATACACCGCCTTTGCAGTACAATGGCATTTCCAGTGTGACAAATCGAACTATTTTAGTTGTGAACTGCGTACGATTATGCTTCGGCTTGCCGCAATAATAAGTTGCTAATGTGCATGGTAGCAAGTCCAACCTGCTCGATCCTGTACTGTAAGCCGCCAGATGTTTGTGGCGTTCGAATTCCGGCCTCCCAGGGCTAAAATCACATTTCGGTCGCAGTAAAATGTCGGCCTGTGTACACTGTTACGCTGGACCTTGCGAAACAAAATTCCGGCCAAGAACGCCCGGTCCGAAAATAGCCAAAAATCTACACATGTATATGTGCCAAATGTGAGTTGTAACAATGAGATAAATAGAAAAAATGATGCCAACAAAGTACCATGTAATAATCTCGAATTGTAAAAATGTATGAAATGTGATTCGTAAACGTTTTTCTGTCGATGGTCATCAGTGAACCTACAACGTTGACTTAGGGGCCGTCGCAAAGGTTTTCTGTCGTCCGTGAACGTACATCGTTCATTTTGTATTCGCACCCCTCCCCTCCCCTCCCTCTGAAACGAACACAGCTTGTTATGCTGGACGACAAAAATCGCATGCATGTACATGTCATATGTACAGTGTCGGTCAACTTGCGATTTTGGCTCGCACCCCTCCCCCCCCCCCCCCCCACCCCAGCGAATTATGTTCTTTTCAAGGACGACGAAAAATCTTTTGCGACAACCCCTTACAGTATGCCGAACACCTTGACTTCACACACCTGGTGTCTAGTCTGTGCGCATTCTGTCGCTGTGTTTCTGTACACCTGCCTTGCTCAGGTCCGCCGCCAGTCATGTGTAACGTGAGTAGCTTTGCCAATGGCGTGGTTGTGCAGCAGAGTGACGGTACGTACAAGGTGTCCTGCACCAGCCCCGGATACAGCCTGACGTCGGGCAATTCCACGGTGACCTGCGGCGACAACGGAGTGTGGCAGGCAACCGGATCATGCGTAGGTATGTGGTACGGCGCTCCCCGGCAGGGCCCGGCCTGTCCTGGGTCAGAGGGGACGGGATTAGAGGGGGTTGGGGTCGGGACGGCGGGTGGTATCCTCCCTGAGTACGGGAACGGGCGGATTCACCGCATTTGTATGTAGATTGTCTAGGCACGTTGGCGTTGGTTGCCGTGAGCTACTATAAATTCCAGGACTGGTATGAGTCATGCTTTTCATCAGACAAAAAACTCACCCACCTACAGGTCCGTATAACAGAGATACAGGTGAAAAGCACTCCTCACCATGGCAACAGTTATACTGATTACTATGGAGACCCGTGGAGGAGGGGTGGAATTCGACTGCCTTAGACTAGGACTGCATTAGAACTCTTTGTTCTATCTTCGTGTCCGTTTGCGAAGCCTGGTCGGTCCTTCACGTCTGTTATTGTGTGTTTGTTTGTGCCAGTTCTCTGTTGCTTTTTTGTCTGTTTACGACATCTGTTTGTAATTTATACTACGTCAATGTTGGCTTGTTCAAATTGTTTCGTTTGTTCTGTGGCTTCTATCTGTTCTGCATGCTCTGTCATTTCTGTCTGTTTGGTCTGGTTTTTTTGCATGCACTGTGACATACAGTTGACTGTGGCAGCATTCCAGCCATCCCTAATGGAATTCTCTTGGAGGTGAGTGTTGTAACTTGTTCGTGACCCAGCCGATACCCGATTCACTTCTACAAAACACCAATGGTTGTGATAATACAGATTTCCTTTGACCATTTAAAATAGAAGAATTTGGAGCTCAAAGGTCCGTTGTGAAGTGAATGCCAAAACTAAGGCGTGAGAGGGCTATTTAGGCACATCAGCAACTTGGTGCAACATGTGGCAATGTCATCCTACAGCGCGTGCGAAGAACAGAGGTCTGTATGTACGCTAAAAGCAAGCTGGCAGTTTTAGAGCTGCGGTGCAAAAATTATTCGGATGTGGACACAAGAGCGCATGCGCTACTTTCAGTCTTACAAAAGAGAAACAAAGGCAGCATAAAAAATTATATTCGAAGCAAAGCATTTTCTACGAGGACAAAAATGCAGAGAACATCATATAAACGTGGAGCAGTAGTATTGTTATGAGACTGGAGAAGTATAATTATTATGAGACCGGAGAAGCATGTTGATCTAATAAACGGCCGTTAAAACCGGAGTAACTAAAGGTATGCTTGTTTTTTGTGACTTTCCTTATTTATTATTATAAAATGCTCATGCTTGTAAAGACAACAGACAGACAGGCAGTTCCCGGCAGACGTGTGGGCTACACGGTTATGCTGTCCTGTAACCCAGGCTACCAGCTAGCAACTCCTGCTGATGGTAGCATCACGTGCGGAGCGGACGGGAACTGGTCGCTCTCTTCGTCGACACCTTGCATCACAAACCCAGGTAGGCTAGAAATTGGAGCTGTCCTAAGAAATCCATGTATGCATATCGCAGCTAACAAATGGAGAGGCTGCGCACAACGAAAATTCGTCAGATCCTGACCGTCCGGGTTCGAGTAACGAAACCTGCTACGAAGAGCAGATCTGCAAAAATATTTTTCATCACGTGGAGTACTAAAATACAGTTATTTTACAACTCCCTGTCTTGACTCTTCGCACCCGCGTCGACCTACTACGAAAAGGTTCACACGTTGTGCGCAACCTCAACGGTTTACATACATTCGTTGGCTTGTCTCATTAAACATTTCCGTTATGGTCTAACGAATTTTCGCTGTGCGCAGCCTCTTGAATGTAATTTACAAGATGGGGATATCGGAGCGAAAATTTGGGTTCCAGCTGGTTCAGAGTGGATCGTTCTGAGGCCCAAGACTGTAGAGAGGAGCAGTGTACTGCAAGATCAGATTATTATAACGTCAGTTAAAGTTAACGATCTCCGGGGTTTTGTGGGTTAGCGAGGTGAAATTCTAACGAATTCGTCTAAAAACCGGCAAATGTCTGTACCTGTACATATCGTTTTGTACATAACGACGTCAGATGTTACCGGTAGCGAATTTTTTAATTTGTTAAATTCGTTAAATCGTTAGAATTAAAATGTTTCGTTAACATTGCTGGTCGTACAGTATAGGGCTGGTTCTACGAGTGCTTGCACACGGCACAGTGGACGGTGTAAACAGCTTCACAGATACAGTTAAATCTGGTTTAAGCGACCGCCCTACGGTGCAAGGAAAAGCGGTCGTTAAAGTCAGGTGGTCTTTAGAACCAGGTCTCACAGTGTCTGTGTAGAACTGTCCGTGCATGGAAAAACGGTCGTTAAGAGCAGGTGGTCGCTAAAACGAGAGGTCGCTTACACCAGGTTTTTACTGTACTGCACTAAAGCAGCGATTTTCAACAGCACTTCTTCCTTCATAACGAAATACACCTGGACATAAAAAAAATAATCATTTGTTCATTACGGTCTAGTCTGTGTCATGTTTTCCTTCTAAACTTGATAAATTTCTACCTTGTCACGACTTTCGTATCTCAGTACATTTACGCTATAAGTAGAGACATTTTTCATTCTACTTCAGCCACTCCCTGTATGATCCATGCAGAAAAAGGGAACTTAAATTCTGTACCTCGTGTGAAGTGTGTTCTGGACTGGATGCGTTTATTTTTTATTTTTTACAATGACCACTTAAATCTGATGCCTGATCATGCGGTGGTGGCGTCCCACGGAAGTAGAAAGGTGGCTCTTGACGTGCCCTGTACGCGAACCCGTGCATTTTTTTAAAATTCTTGAATAATATCGGAGAACAGGTTGCGTCAATCTCTTCTTGTTTCTGCAGCAACCCCTTCCCCGTGCACTGGACCGCTGCCAGATGTAGTTAATGGTGTTGTCATGCCGCTGAATGACATGGATAACCAGACACTGGTGGTGCAATGCAGCGACGGTTATCGGATAAACAGCAGCATCGTCAACACAATGGGCAGCAGCAGCAACAGCAGCAGCAGCAGCAGTAGCAGCAGCAGCAGTGGTAGCAGCAGTAGTAGCAGCAGTAGCAGTAGCAGCAACAGCAGCAGCAGCAGCAGCAGCAGTAGTAGCAGCAGTAGTAGCAGCAGTAGCAGTAGCAGCAACAGCAGCTATGGTGGCGTAATTACCTGTGGGCCCAACCAGCAATGGCAGCTACCGTCGCCGCCTGTAACCTGTGAAGGTAAACTAAACATTCTGGAGAAACAAAACCTTCTGTTGATGAGCCAGGCACGAACATGTAACAATAATACACCCATACCTCGATTATCCGGACCCCGAAGTTACAGGCACTTCGGTCTAAGTTACAGGCACTTCGGTCTACTGGGCACCCTTTGGGCGAGTTTGAGTGGAAATATTACTACTCCTTTGCGACTTTCTGCGGTAATAGTGACGTCGTAAAAATTGCCGTGTCGTCACTATGACCTTTCCGCATGAAAATGTATGTGATTCGGAGTAACGAACATTTCAAAGTTGCGGGCAGTACCCGTTCGCGGACCGCCCGGATAAACGCGGTATGAGTGCGCTGATGAAATGCATTTTCACATCCGGGTCAGGATCCGTGTTGAGAGGCTTGGGACTTGGCCCACGCTACAGTATTGTCTGGCGCCGAAGAACTGGGGGTCAGGGTTCTAGCCTAGCCCACTCTTATTTTTAGCGAGCACAGCAGTTTCGTTCTTATTCAATGGTACAGTCTTACATGTACATTTATGTAGAGTGATACGTCTGAGTGTACATTATAATGTACATCACGATTTCCGTTCTTATTTTCCAATAATCCAGCCTAGAACGTTCTTAAAAATTGGTGAAATTCTAGCCTGGCCGTTCTTTGGGGGTCCGTTCTTTTACAGTCCGTTCTTCAGCGGTCCGTTCTTCGGCGGTCCGTTCTTCGGCGCCCAACAGTATTGTATTCACTTGTGCCGGTCGGAGAATGATAAACAAATGAAAAATGAAAAGATACGTCGGACATAGTGCTATTTACACGTAGTAGAATATAAAGTCTGTTATTTAGTTATACGGATTTGGAGCTGGAGAAATCATACACCAGGATCAGGCCACATACACCAGGATCAGGCCACATACATCAGGATCAGGCCACATACACCAGGATCAGGCCACATACACCAGGATCAGGCCACATACATCAGGATCAGGCCACATACACCAGGATCAGGCCACATACACCAGGATCAGGCCACATACACCAGGATCAGGCCACATACACCAGGATCAGGCCACATACACCAGGATCAGGCCACATACATCAGCTGTTAGAATGTCCACTGTAGTTCAAGTCAGAGTTTGAATAGGGTCGTGAAACCTGGAAAAGTCTAAATAATTATGTCATTAAGGACCGACGCTGACTTCTTCCCGTCCTTAGCAACCAAATCTCAATAAAGTACATACATTTTGCCGGCCGTTCCAGATGGCTTCAATGAAATTGCCACAATGTTCCGTCATCTGGAAAGCTATCCTTGCCTAGCGCCACGTCTCATACGTGGTCTGTTTGTAGTCGAGAGCTTCCACAGCATTATAACGGGAGGAGCAAAGTGTACTTGGGCCACCTTGAATTAATTCGTTGTTTTTTTTGGGTCATTCTACTCATCCGTACCAGGGTCGGTCGGTCGGTCGGTTTTTTGGGTTTTTTTCGTAACTGCCATGTGCACACATTATACATGTATGTGACAATGTAGATTGTGCATTTCGAAAATCCAAGCTTTTGTCCATCAAGCCAGTCGATCAAATCTGACTGTAGACCATGGCAGACGATACAGCGTAGCCGTTGTCCATTGTCAGGTCCAGGTCCACTCCAGGACCGGATCTTGGCCTCGCTGGCAAACGAGCGAGCAGCTCTCACCAAAACGTCTGTCAGTGGGTGACAAGGTGGCGGAGCTGATGCTGTTTCAGGACATATTGCGGATCGGGGAAAATAGAAGACAACGTCGTCACCGACCGCTAGCGCTGCATTCTGTTATTTGGCTGTTTCCGAGGTCGACGTCTAGACTGCTGAAAATCGATGTACACTCGGACGTCTCTTATCCGGGCACCTTGGGACCGGGCACTGCCCGTATCTCAGATTTGCCCGTATCTCAGGATAACTCATCTACCATGTATCATATCATTTTTGAAGACGTTTATTTGGAATGTATTGCACATGTTCAGGATACAGAAGGAACCCATTCATAAAAATGTGTGCATTACATAGGTTGGCAGTGAAAAATAAGCACTTCCGAATACGGGAAAAGTTCAAAAACCCCAAATTCAAAGCATTTTTGCCATAGGAACTCAAGCTAAAGCCAGTAAAGGTGGCCGGTAGAGAGACGTGCCCGTATCTGAGGCGTCCGGATAAGAGGCGTTTGAGTGTACATGTATATGATTCTGTACACAGCCATGTGCTAGTGACAATAGTACATTTGTATGCAAATTTAAAAAAAATCTTTTGCGGTCGGGTGAAAAAAGACGGTCGGTCGGGTGACCCGAAACAACGATTTAATTCTGGGTGGCCTTGTGAGCCGCTGTTTCTCCAACACTAGCAATCCTACGCAAGATACTGATGAGTTCCTATGCTCCCGGTCCGAGTTTATCCCGCATTATTGTCTTGTGTTTTCTTACAGATGTGAATGAGTGTTCCAGCAATACGCATAACTGCACTCCAGCGCAGAACTGTACTAATCTACCAGGCTCTTTCCGCTGCGATGGGGGTAGGTCAACCACTTGTTTGTGCATGTGTGTGTGTGTGTGCAGGGTTCTAGCCAAGGGGATGTAGGGGGGGGGGGGGGGGTAGCAGCGCCCTCCTACTCTGTTTGTGCCCCCCCCCCCCCCTGTGAAAAAGTGCCCCTCCCTACTCATTTTCCAATTTTTTCGTGTTTTCCATGCAATCCAACGAGAGTGCAGTCAAATGTCACTACCACTATTAGATGGGTCATAAAGGCACATTTGTCTGGGAAGAAGTCGGGGATCCGCCCCATACGTTGCATTTAGCGTGGCAAGACAATATTGGAAAGTGGAAAATGGGATACGGGGTAACTGCTTCCCATGCCCACCCCCCACCCCCCCCCCCCCCCCTACTAGTTTGACCTGGCTAGAACCCTGGTGTGTGTGTGTGTGTGTGTGTGTGTGTGTGTGTGTGTGTGTGCGTGAGTGCGTGAGTGCGTGCGTGCGTGTGTGTATATGTGTATGTATGTGTGTGTGTGTGTGTGTGTGTGTGTGTGTGTGTGTGTGTGTGTGTGTGTGTGCGCGCGTACGTGTGTGTGTGTGTGTGTGTGTGTGTGTGTGTGTGTGTGTGTGTGTGTGTGTGTGTGTGTGTGTGTGTGTGTGTGTGCGTGCATGTGTGCGGGCGTGTGTGGGTGGGTTGGTTGGATTTTTCTTTTTTTTTGGGGGGGGGGGAGGTGGTTGGGTCGCTTGGCTCTCCGGCTCACTATCTGGGAGAAGTTGGCACTGGATCACTGAAATCTCAGCTTTGAAAGCAATCTTGAGGTTTAGGCTCTGGATATGCCTTCAGTTTTGTTAAGCACCCACCCTCAACTGGGGTAACAGCAGGTATTCTCGGATAGTGCAATAAGTCAATGGAAGCGGGGGGGGGGGGGGGGGGGGAGGGGGGGGGGTCTCACAGCTAGTTTTGAAAATTTTAAACCTGCAAGGTGAATTAAATGATTCACGGGGTATTCACGGGGTATCTGGGGCAAAGAGTGGCGGGTCCGGTCAAAACCGTAGTGATCGTAGTTTGTCCGACGCCAGGTCAACTACTAACAGTTATCTTCATGTGATCTTCATGTGATCATGCAAGATGAATGACAAAGGATGGATGCTTGTGTGTGTGTACTGTGTACGTGTGTGTGTGTACGTGCGTATGTGTGCGCGTGGACGTGCGTATGCGTATGTGTGTGTGTCCTCCATGCGTGCGTGCATGCACATAAACGCGTGGGTGTGCCTGCATGCGTGACTGCATTCACATCAATGCTGCTCAGTTGCCTGTCTTTATCGTGAGTTTGATAACGGATGCTGGCGCTACGCCACTGCGACATCACACTTGGCAGAGGCAGCATGCAGGAACGGCTATCAACCACAACCGAATAGCTTGTTTATATCTCAGTGCGACTTAACAACTTCGCTTCCGTCCCCTCCACCCAGTGATTACTGCACAATCGGTGAGAGTTCCCTTGGTCACCTTGTAAGCAGCTCCCATTTTTCTCTCCAAGCATCCCTTATAACACACGAAGAAACGAAGCCAGTTGTGAACCTGATGAAGCCTTTCGTACCATTGCTTCTCAAACCAGTACTGGATATGGCATTCTCTTTGTGCCCAGTACAAATATCATGGCCGAGTATCATGGCCGCGCAGAGTGGGTGCGAAAGGCAGGAGTTCGAACCGTTCAAGCATTAATTTTGTAATTTTTTTGCACAGTGGATGCACCCAGTGTGCTGAAAATGCACACGCCCACACACACCCTCTCTGTTTGTCTGTCAGGCACACAGCATGTACTGAAAAAACCGGGAATTTTGAGTGGTGTGATATTTTCGGTATTTCCCAAAATCAACAGTTCGGTAGCGCGAAAATTTCGGTAAACCAGTTTCCAGATCCAAAAACGGCATTTTGCGCACTGTGTGGCATGGCATTGTTGAGTTTTAGGTGGCATTTCATATTAGGTCAAAATTCCCTGTACCGAGGTTACGGAGAATGAATCTCTACCGAAATTTTCCAGTTTAGCAGTACGTCTGTGTATCACGTTCACTGTGCGTTTCTTTACTTTCCCATAGGACCGTGTGGCGAAGTCACTCCTTTGCTCAATGGCTATGCGCAGCTTATAAAGGAATGTCCTCCACCGCAGCGTGCACCCCAGGCCCAGGTACAGTGTCACCGTGGATACTCTCCCTCAGTGCCAACGATAGAATGTAACGGGACTCACTGGCAGACAGTATCGGATATCTGTAGGGGTAAGTAATTCATCCCCCTCCCCCCTGGTATCACACACACACACACACACACACACACACACACACACACACACACACACACACACGCACACACACACACACACACACACACACACACACACACACACACACACACACACGCTCACTCACTCTCTCTCTCTCTCTCTCTCTCCCTCTCCCCCACCCCTCTCTCTCTCTCTCTCTCTCTCTCTCTCTCTCTCTCTCTCTCTCTCTCTCTCTCTCTCTCCTCTTTCTCCCCACCCCCTCCCTGTCTCTCTCTCCTCTTTCTCCCCCCTCTCTCTCTCCTCTTTCTCCCCCCCCCCCCTCTCTCTCTCTCTCTCTCTCTCTCTCTCTCTCTCACACACACACACACACACACACACACACACACACACACACACACACACACACACACACACACACACACACACACACACACGCACACACGCACACACGCACACACAAACACACACACACACACACTCTCTCCCTTTTATTCTTCATCTGTCTCTCTCTCTCTCTGTCTCTTTCAATTTCCCTCTGTGTCTGTCTGTCTGTCTGTCTGTCGGTCCGTATATCCGTCCATCCATCCTTCTTTCCTTAATTAATTCTGGGTGGCCTTGTAAGCCGCTGTTTCTCCAACACTAACAATCATAGGCAATATATTGATGAGATCCTATGCTCCCAGTCCGAGTTTATCCCGCATTATTGTCTTGTGTTTTGTTACAGATGTGAATGAGTGTTCCAGCAATACGCATAACTGTACTCCAGCGCAGAACTGTACTAATCTACCAGGCTCTTTTCACTGCGATGGGGGTAGGTCAACCACTTGTTTGTGCATGTTTGTATGCATGTGTGTGTGTGTGCGTGTGTGTGTGTCCACGTGCACGCGCGATGGCCATTTCTTGGTACCGGTTGATGTACTGTCTATTGTTGCGGGTGTTTGTGTTTGTGGGATTACAGTTTTTGTAAATGAATTTTACAAGAAAGTGGCTGCTCCTAGATTTGGGGCGCGCTTCCTGTGGACTGCTGTCTGAAGCACACAGGAAGCGTGTTTAACTGCTCGCTTGACAACCTATCACTTCAGTACAAGCAAGAAAAGAGCTGAAAGGTTCTGCAAGCAAACAGGAGTAGTAGCAAGTCCAAAACTTGGTCAGCCAATCAGTAAGGCTGAAAGGAATATTCGAGATACTAAGTATGTACAGACCCGGAAAAGAATATCCTTTGTTTTTAAAAGTGAAATACGAATATTCGTACATGTGCAGAAAGACGCCTTTTTGATATCGAATAGGCTTACATGCATGTGGTGCAGAATATGAGTAGGCTTGCCTCCTTCCATGTGTTATCATCAGCAAGCCAAATGATAACAATGTCCTTTTCAAATGTCTCTCTTGTATATGGGTAACCACCAGTTGATGGTCTATGGTTATCATGGATACAACAAGGCGTCCATGGATATTGTATGGTTTGGAATATTCGGAATATTCTTCGTTTCAGGTGTAGTATTCCGAAAAAGAACATTCGTTCCCTTCATTGAACATTCGTTTCAGCTCTACCAATCTCCTCTATAATCCTGGTTCCGGGTGCACTGATGACTCGTGTAATCATACTCACATCCTGGGAGAGAGAGATTGCAGACAACACTTACATGCCCAAGAGGAGGAATCTGTGAACAGGTACTGATGGACTGATGGAGGGCCTGCCTGGGCTAGGCTAGCGGCTGGGCTTTAGTTTAGGCAGGTCACTTTCAAGAGCGTCCACTTGAGCCAGACAGGAAGCTGGCTTTCCTGCTGTTGCACACTTCAAACCATGTGACGCGGCACGCATTTCTCACCTCACCCCATTACTGGTCACAAACGAGTTACATACATGTACAATCATGTACATGATTGTGCATCACTTGAAAGCACGCCTTATCTAGTCTTGAATGATGTCAGTGCTCTGTTACCAGCTGCTCTGAAATGCTGGTGGTTGGGGGGGGGGGGGGGGGAGCATGTGTTCATATATGCTGGCATGGTGGCAGTGCCTATACTATACTAGTATACCTAGACTGTATCATGTGCTTGCACTGTTCTAGTGATTCTCGTACGTGTACACTCATATCTCGCCGTTAGTTTATCAGGACAGTTCGGGGACCGGAACTTTGAAATGTCCGTAACTCCGAACCACACGCATTTTGATAGGGAAAGGACATGGATATGGCATGTGACGTCACGATTTCCACAAAAGTGACAAAATCAGTAGTACATGTACATGTAGATTTACACAGAAACTCGCCCAAAGCTTGCCTGGTGGACCGAAGTGTGCGGATAACCAAGGGTTGAGTGTACATATAGAACAGAAAGGTTCCAGGCTGTCCAAGAGAGTGCTCAATACCAAGTGGTAGAGCTCGTTCAAACAATAGGAGGACAGAGAAAGTGTTTTTACTCCGAGTTTCACGCACTGAGCGATCATCAGAAAACAGTAATGAGAAATCTGGATCAGTATACTCTCTCTGTCCTCCTATTGTTTGAGTGTACATAATTATACATATGGGTGAAGCACGAGAGTGCTAAGGGAGGTCCTGTAGTAGAATTGTTACAGTCACCACGCTGTCCCTCATAGAACATCCATGGGCCCTTCACCTGCCTCCTGAGTAGTTCATAATCGTATTAGTGGCGCTTGGAACTAATTCAGCCATACACTGTATGAAGACATCCCTTACACTCCTGTGTCAGTGTATGAAGATATCCCTTACACTCCTGTATCAGGCTACTGCGGCTAGTTCACATCTTGTTTTCAGTGTTTCGTTTCAAAGTATTGTGGTGGGGTCTTGACAGGGAAAGGGAAGATTTCTGTTGAACTAACTTCAATTTCAAGCTTCAAAAAGGTGTACATAGTCACTGGCCTGAGTTACATGTTCATGATGCATGCATGGCTCAGTGTCTCATCCCGTTACTATTCACGCTACTGTGCCAGTATTGTACTCCTATGCAAAGGTTGTGCAATCATGTACAGTGTTGCTCAATGAAATCCGGTCGCCTGAGAGAATGCCACGCTGGGCTCTCAGTCGGTGCAGCCCCAGACCTGGCAACTCTGGGATATGTAGTGGTGCATGGTGCAGGAGTGGTGCATGGTGCAGGTAGGGTTTCGTTGTGCAGCAGCACTGCATGCACGATCCCCTGCGTCATCCGTCATCTTTCTCAATACATGTGTCAGATGAATGTCGTCTAGTGGCGCTGTATCAGACGGCCATTCAAGGTGGAAATAATGACCTACTTTAAATACAGGTAGTGAGTGATTCTGATAACAGCTCTCTATATTGGCTGGTGCCATTGAGCCGTGAATGAATGATAAGAAAAAAACACAGATCTGAATGAGGTTTTTCACCTTATTTTAAACTTTCCCCGGACTATTCATACTGTTGAAGGAGTTGAAAATGAGACAAACTTCACGGTCACCACCAGTACTCGAACCAGGGACCATTGCTTATGGCCGGTGGTTCTCTGCCACCACTGATTGCTGTGACTGCCTTGGATATACCGAAATATGAACAACCTGGCTCACTAGCACTAGTAGTATCACCAAGAGTACATAAACCGGTTTATGTACTCTTGGTATCATGAGTATCCATATTTAAAGTACATAAGGACTAGCACGGAGGGCAGTGCACCTTAGCCTGCGACTGCTGTGGAGTGCCCACTGCCAGTGTTGGGCAGAGTACAGTACAGTATGTATTACTGTACATGTACTCACAATATGCCCCTGCTATCCTTTGTGTACTTCACCTCCTGTGTTATAGTGTACCATTATACGCACTACTTCACTAGTTATTCAGTGTATTGGGGGAAATAACCCTAGTTTCGGAACCATACACAACCAGTTGCATTTCACCCTGGAATTCCTGGTTCTCGGAATGACGAAAGTGCTGAATGCCACTGATGTCAGTGATGATGGAGCATTCTTCGGCTAAGTACTTAGCCGAAGAATGCTCCATCATCAGGTACAGTGAAACATGTAACTAACGACCACCCGTTGGGGCCAGAGAAAGTGGTCTTTAGTGGCAGGTGGTCCTTAGTTAGAGGTTTGCACCGCACAACCATGATAATGAATGTGAGACCGTCCGTGCCTGGCGAAGTGGTCTTTAGTACTAGGCTGGTCGCTAGTCACGGGGTCTTTAGTACATGTACCAGGCAGGTCGCTAGTCACGGTGGTCTTTAGTTACAGGTTTTACTGTAGTACCAGGCAGGTCGCTAGTCACGGTGGTCTTTAGTTACAGGTTTTACTGTATAGATTATAGAGTCATCAGCTAGATTTGATGTCCTTCCTATTCAGGGCAGCACATGACTTTTACAGGACTCTCTGGCGTGATGGGCACACGCAGCAGAAACCCTTCATGTGCGTTTTCCGATCAGTGCCACTCATAAAATACTTACTGTCCTCGAAGAGTTACTACTTCTGGAATAGGTATTCTAAGCTAACATCCAACGATATATGCAAGTAGGCTTGAGATTCTTCACAGTGACTACTAATATCTACCTGAGGTCTTTGACAAGTTCAGCCCTGGCCAGAGCAATACTGAATACTGAGTACACTGTAATTCGATGTCATGAATACTAGCAATAGTAACGGCCCCGGGGCTACTTGTACTCAGCCTGCTTGGCCTTAGCACCACACACAACTAAAGAAGTAAGTACCGGTATTGCACGACACTTTGAGCGCTAGGGCGGCGTTTGGAGTGGAGAAGTGAAGTTTTTTTTCCTGAACGGATTTCTCTGTCCAAAAGTGTACTCTGTCGCAATAATTATGTAGTCGCAAAAGTGTATAATATTCGTCAAAGCAGTGATGCAGAGACCATAATTTCTGTCGAGCTTGGTATGGAAATCATTTGAGCACTTCATTGGTCTTATCTCAGTTGACTCGTTATCGCCTGACGGGCTGATCCACGCACTAACCCACGGCGCTATGGGTTTGGACGACAATAAGTGTAACAGTTACTGAGTGCCAGTTACTGTAGCCTTATTAGTACGTTTTGTGGAATTTAGCACCTTGTGGGGATGAAAGCACACCTTCGACAAATGGCAGATGTTTTCATTCGCACCCTTCCGATCTACTCTTTCGAAACAGAGGAGATAATTCAACAGGCAGAGTGCCAGTGGCAGCGCTGCGTTGTCGACACCTCGTAAGCAAAAGCAGTACTAGTATCTGATGAGTCTGTATCAGTTCGAAGGATTAGCAAGACGAAATTCGCGTTCGCGTTCGCAAACATTTTTCAGTTCGCGAACGGGATTGCGAACTTTCGCATTTTTCGTTCGGAAAAGTAGTCGGAATACGAATCGTGGATTCGTGTCAGGGCAGTCATATATTTACCACGCTGTACTGCCTACGTCGTGTCAACATCATGCATGTGCGAATTCTGTTTGCTAATCCTTCTCATAACGCGAATTCCGTCACTGAGTTCGACTTTCTTTGGAGAGCGAACGCGAACGCGAATTTCGTCTTGCTAATCCTCCGTAGTGTGACGGGCCTAGTGTTCGAATGGCGGCGAAAGGAGCTACTGGCCACTGCCGTCATGGGCTCCGACTTCACCATCGACGCTCACACGCTCGCGTCGAAATACATGTATCTGTCGCTTGGCGTTAAGACGTGTGACCTGTCGCCTAAACTCTGGTGTGACCTGTCGCCTCTCTCTCTGGTCCGAACTCGGATCGAGATACGTACATGTACGTACATGTACTATGTAGCTCATAAGCTCAAAGAGTTTTAAAAAGTGTCTTTTGCTTTTTGCTCGCCTCTGTGTCTGTGATCACCTCACTTATCACCTCACTCTTGCCGCT